ATTATTTTCTTCTCTGAGTAGTCCGCCTTTCGTAACATGTATATGTACAGTATGTTTGAATACTTTTATTTTACGACTATTCTTAAGGAAAAAATAATGAAAAGAATAATACTAGTAATGTTTATTTTATTTAAGACCGGTGTCAGGCAAGGTTGCTCACTCTCACTCCTTTTTCTTTCTCCCGGTGGTCAACTGGATCATGAAGACGTGAAAATCTGGGGGGAAGCATGAGATATAGTGGACAGATAGGATGCAGTTGGATGATCTAGACTTCGCAGATGATCTGGCTCTTCTATCGCAAACGCAACAACAAAGGCAGGAGAAAACGACCAGTGTGTCAGCAGCCTTAGCAGCAGTAGGTCTCAATATACAAAAAGGGAAAAACAAGATTCTCCAATACAACACAACATGCACCAATCCAATCACAATTGACGAAGATTTGGAAGATGTAAAAAACTTTACATATTTGGGCAGCATCATCGATGAACACGGTGGATCTGATGCATATATGAAGGCGTGGATCGGCAAAGCAAGAACAGCATATTTACACCTGTAGATCATCTGGAACTCAAAACAATTGTCAACCAACACCAAGGTCAGAATTTTCAATACAAATGTCAAGACAATTCTACTGTATGGGGCGGAAACCTAGAGAACTTCGAAAGCCATCATCCAGAAGATACAAGTGTTTATTAACAGTTGTCTACGCTAAATACTTCTGATCCGTAGGCCAAATACTAACAGCAACAACCTGTTGTGTGGGAGAACAAACCAGATTTCAGCGGAGGAAGAATTCAGGAAGAAGCGCTGGAAATGGATAGAACACACATTGAGGAAAGCACCCAACTGCATCACAAGGCAAGCGCTCACATGGAATCCTCAAGGTCAAAGGAGCAGAGGAAGATCAAAGAACACAGTACATCTGGAAATGGAGATAGACATGAGAAAAATGAACAAGAAATGGATGGAACTAGAAAAGAAGATCCAGGACAGAGTGGGTTGGAGAATGGTGGTCGGCGGCCTATGCTCCATTAGGAGTAACAGGCGTAAGTAAGTAAGTAAGTAAGTAAGTTATTTTATTTATTTAAACACATAAGCACTGGTACAAGGAGGCACCAAACAGATGTGCGCCACATAAATCATTTGATTTGTGTGAGGGCTGGGATACTACCCGGGTGCCCAAACCGAATCCATTCAAACCCATGTACCTTAAACTAGTTGTTGACTTTCTGATATTGAGATTTCTGTTTCATCCTGTTCAGTGGAAAGCTGCATTTATAGTGAAAATCATGTTTTAAAATATTTCAAATTAATGAATTCCTCTCAGTGGTTTAGTATCTGATATCATCCAATTTTTAATTCATTTCAAACCGTTTACTGATATTTTATCGTGTACCTTAATTACTACCTTCAATGAATCCTTCCATATGAATTTTATATCAGGCGTTTGGAATAAAAATAAACTAGTTTGAATACCGAAATATGTGTCTAGTGATATTCGGTACAGTTTTGACCCATCACAATCATGCCTTAAAGCGATAGTTAAACCACTAATTCAGCTTTTATTACATGACAATAGTGATTTAAATCAGTATCCTTGCAAACATGCAAGATGTACTTTTGAAGTTGTATTTGTCCTATAAAACTATACGGTGTTTAATTTATCAAAACGTGTTAGATATGTTCAATACATTTCGATGAAGCTTGATTCCCATTTGATTACGTCCCATATTGTCACCTGTATAACAAATTCGCTGTGAAAAGTGCTACAAAACTTGGATAACAAACAAATTACTTTGTAAGCTTTGTGGTAGAGAATTGAAAATTATGTATAAAGAGGTGTTACCACTTAATTACCGTCAAACGGTTAATATGACTTCAGTCACTATCTTCTTTTCTTTTATATTCTTCTATTCAATGCATGACTTGTACTCGACTGAAATCATGCTTATTAAACATACTAGGTGAATGAGATGGTGGAGAAGATTTGTAGCTCAGGTGGATGATTTTGATGGAGTTTTGTTCTCTGAGCTGGATGGTTTGGTCGTGGAGCTTTCATAATTCTTCTGAACGACATCATCTCCATATGCACATATGGAGGAATTCGAACACTTCACTTCTATCTGACGTTTGTGCTGATGATGTCGTTCAGAAGAACGATGAAAGCTCCACGACCAAACCATCCAGCTCAGAGAACAAACCTTCATCAAAATACTAGGTGAATATATATATATATATATATATTGGTTTCTTCTAATCATTTTGGATGGATGAGTTCTTAGCAAACATTAAGCAATAACATCCTTTGAATAGTCTGGCTTCGATGTCTCTAAAAATCGAATTGTCAAATTTTACCTTGAACAGGGTAAGTCACTGAACATTTTGATGAAGTCTTATAGATTCATACAGTTTATATATCTACTATAATAACTCTTGAATGCTATCTATCCTCTACGATGAAAATGGACGTTGTGAAATGTTTACAGTAACATTTAATGTTGGAAATTTCTGATTGTATCAAGTATATGGCATATAACATGTTTATTATTATGACGTGTCGCAAGAATCTACGCTGATCCAATAACTAAGCTTGTTAGTTTCTAATAGGCTTGATGTAGTGAATGAGAACACAAGTAGGGACAATCAAATGTATTTGGACACAAAATTACAGAGCATCTTAGTAAATTCTGAGAACCAAACAGTAAGTACTTCATTTGCAAAATGTCAATCATATGTCTCAAACTTGACTGTTCCTTCTGCAAATGTCAATCAATCGTCTCAGACTTCATTATTCTTTAGATTCCACAGCAATCATCATTTCTTCTCATTCTCATTTCTTCGATCTTCTTAACCTTCTGCTGCCAGGTATTGCGCCTTCGATTGTTGATACATACTACTCATATCTGTTGACATCAGTAGCACACCATATTGGCACTGAGATAATGAAGTATCGACATTATTTGATGAGATTATTGCTATTCCACAAATTGGCCAAAATTAAGCCTGAGAATTACTGAGTTTTGTCTAGCTCTTCAAAATACACCACACCTGATTTTGAAAGCTAAAATCTCTTAGTTCTAACTTCAGTCCCCAGAAGAGAAGTTACGAATTAAGAAGCTGTGTCGATTCAGTGTCCAAAGATTCATTAGTTGAAATTAGTTCGTGACGATACGATTGCGCATCAAGTTTACAAAATATCTAACTTAACAAGTCCTTAATAATTATACTTGTGTTAAGAATTTTTTAAATATTTCATTAAATCTTTGTAATATATGGTCCATTTGTTTTTACCAATGAAAACTGCAAAATCGATTAAATAGTCTTCTCATCACTGCGATAATGAAGTCATCTGTTTTATTGTATTTACCTAGTGAACCGTTATATGAAGTCAATAAATGCTGATTTCCTTGTAACTTCTTCATTTAATGATAGGAAGAGATAGATGGTTGCTAGTAATGAGATCCAGGATGCGCGTTTCATCCTATTCGGGACTTGTCAGGTGGATACAACTGCATCCCCGAGTTGATGTTCACCCTGGGATTCGTACTCAGTGTCGTCCGCTTCAGATATCATCGCGTTATTGACTTACTTACTAAGTCCAACTAGCCAGTGCTTTGTGCAAAAGAAACCGCTTAATTTCAGTTGTCAACATCCATGGGGAGGTTCAAACAACCGATGCAAATAAATTAATTTCCTAATGTTTAGATAAAGCATGGAACTATCTAAATAATATATGAAAGTTTATATGAACTTCCTCCTAACCTAAACGTTTTTTGAAAAGATGAAAACACAATACAATAAATTCTTACGATAATGTTCACCTACGTTTGTGAAGAATTTGAGGTACTTTTATCTTTTCAACGTACGTTAGATAAGAATTGTGTTTCATTACGTGTGTGAATTTCAATGGACTTACCTCTACTAATATTTACTACCAAACTGTTAGAATTTTTACTGCTGTGGATTTATCAATAAAACCCTAAATCAAACACAGCAAAGACGGTTGTACACAACCAACAAATAATATTTAAAATAAAATAGTTTCAGAAGTAGGAATAAGCTCATCTGAACATCACTATGTATAGTTTACAGAAACCAACACCCGTCTCTAATTATTAATTTAGGCACTGGAGAACGATTTAACGGAGTAGAATATGAGTTCTCTGGTAAATGAAATTCATTCAAGCTATTTACAGTAATTTAATGTACATGGATTTAGAGTATACTCAGTCGATAATTAACGATACTTCCTTCAAAATTTTCATGACTTGGTCAATTAATTAGTAAGCTACTATATATAACTGGATTTTAATCATTCAAATAGATGAGTTTGCAATATCATATGAACAGTTAATAAATATAAATGCCTCAAAGAACTTAACGTATATATATATATATATATATATATATATATATATATATATATATAATCATCTCTGTTTGGTGAAGTGACGTGATTGCTGCACGTAATAACCGATTGCTCAACTCATTATTTTACAGTCATGAATCCCAATTCACATATGAGAATAAAATTACAATACCAATATTATTTCACTTTTATCTTTAGAGAAATTATACTGAACTACATTTTTAAACTCCTTTATTCATTTGCACAAAAAAATAATATCTAACAGTGCATTAAAGTTATACCTAATGTGTGTCACATATAAGCTTATTTCATTCATTTATCTTATATGGATATAGTTAATTAAGTAATCAAGAGTTATCTTTTAAATAAAATAATATAATGAAAATAATCTCTAATAACATTACATTAATAACAATAATGAATTTGTATGGTTCCCAATCCATCTGTTAAATAAGAATATCTATCAATCAGTTTATAAATTTCAATTATTGTTATTAGTAATGATGATAATATTTGTAAGATCAATAAAACATTTATATATTCTGTAATGCTTTCAACTTTTTTGAATGTAAATTTATATATATATACTCAATTAATAAGACAATGAAAATTACATTTCAACGTTATGTTGCTATGATGTTTCATATGCTAGCATTTCATTCAATATTTGTGTTAGATAATCCATTCGTTTTTCAATACGTCTACTAACTAATAAAATACATTAATTGATCATATTTATTTTATAGGTGAATAGAACTTACGGATTTTAGCAACTTCAAGCATTTTCTTGTCTAAATCATCTTTTTTTAAATAATTATCGAATGTTTTGTACATTTTCATACGTCCATTTTTAAAGGATTTTTTTAAAACCTTATATATTGCTTTCTTAGATATAACATTGAATTAATAAACATATTTATATTAGAAGAAAGTAGTTACCATCCCATGTTTTGAGTCGACATCTTCATCATTCACATTTTCATCTTCATTCTCATTTTTCATTTTATTTTTGTCTTTGTTCTTCTTTTTCTCTTTGACTTTATGCTTTTCCCTTACATGTTCATGTTTTTCACTATTCTTCTCTTTAGTTTTATCTTCATTCCAGTTTTTCTCTTCACTTTCATCTTCATGCTCATTTTCTTTTTCATCTTTATCTTCTTCCTTGTTCTTTGAATGATCCACGTCTTCATCGTCCTCTTCTTCGGTATGATGTGCTTTACTAAAAAATACAATGAAATCGTTTTGGTTGTTAAGAAATCATACTTTACACATATATTATTTTCAATCTTAAAGTAGTCAATGAAAATTCTGTAAATAATTTCATCTTCATTCAGAATATATTGATAGTTGTTAAAAATAAGCAAGTAATTAGATAAACACGAGTATTCGATAACTGCATATAAAATAAAGTTTCAATTATATATATAGACTACTTAATTGCTAATGAGAAATTAAAGTCACCATAGAATTATTAAATTTATTAGTTGAGATGATGAGTCAATTGAAACCAGACCAACATTGCAAACCTGGAAGCACTGAACGGCCGTTTCATCCTATTGTGAGACTCCTCAATGCTTCCATGTTTTTCATGGTGGTCTAGCTTTAATTGACTCATCATCTCAACTATTAAAATTACTATAATATCCACAAGGCTCCTTCTGATAATGAAATTGTTAATTTATAATTTACATGATTTTAATAGTTTTTCGAAAAATGCTAAAACTCTACTCATTTATTGTCGTTAAACAGGATAGTAAACTTAATGTCTGTTGTATGTTTATTTTCTTCTCAATTAAACACACACTATACTAATCAATACTTTGAGTAAAAGATTTTGAGCTAGTCATAGTTATCGATACAAAATGTTAAAAGAAAGTGAACACATTTGAATGAATCGTATTGAATATAAATAAAAGAACATAATAATGGAACAAACATTACAGTAAATATATAATTTTTGAAATGATGGTTACTGTTTTGTAAGTTGGGTAATATCAATTATGTAAGTATTGCTTTCGTTAATCTATTTATTGACAGTTCATATAAGTATTGTGTATCATTACCGATTTTCAATGTAATGAAGAGTGTTTTTGAATTCAGCTTTGTTATAAAATATTATAATGAATTCTTTATTAGTGTATGAAAGAATTCACACATAAATTCTTTTGTCAGTGATAATATACTAGCTCACTTGCAATCGTGTTTGTTTACATTTAATTTGGTTAGGCACTATTGTTAACTTATTTATCGGATGGAGTCAATCGTATAGTAACAACTTATCTATACCATTATGCCTTTAATATTGTTGCATTTGTATGAATATGTATGCTTGAACATTGCTTACTGCCTAGGTATATATTCACTCTTCTAGCCTTACTATTAGTCGCTTAATTGATTCGATGATTCATTCATTTCACCATGTACATATATGTACAATTTAATCCTGTTCACTCTCGCTAGTTCGACTCATTTGCTCACTCGCTTGCCCGTTTGCTTTTTGGCACTACTTTCTCATTCTTGTCATTTTGGTGATCTGTGCGTGGGGCAATAATATACGTAATCAACACTTCGTATTGACTTTCTGATTAATAAACAGTTAAAGTTTTATCTAGTGACCGTTATCAGGACGAACTGTATACGAAGTTTAAGCATTATATTGAATATCAACCATAACAAAAATTATTTTTAATGCGTATCAATATCAAGGTTAGACTTGATAGTTTGAAATAAATTGAGTAGAGAGCTAATAATAAATGTGCTTTTTTATATTCCAATGAGTAGAAAAATCGTATTTCTAACGTTTTGTAACTTAATCTAGGCTCCTTCATCAGAGTAAATAAATAACTGATATGTCGGTTATTATTATCATTATTACAGGATTAACACTAAATTGAAAACTATTAACTCACTTTATGAATGTTGAATAAGTCAATAACACAAAAATTACGCATAATAACATAATAAACTTCATCTTAACTAGAGAGAATGAGATTGTTTTATAGCTTAAATATCATCAAAATGTTGTATTATATAGTGGCTATAAAATAATGTTGTCCTTTATTCCATTCAAATCATAAATTTATCCTTCACTTATTTTGAATTAATTTACAAGTACATTTATATGTAACTATGGTATAGTGGTGGAATTTCAAATTATTATAATATGAAGATATGACCTTATCACATCTGAACTGTTTGATTGTTTACAATTCATTATCATTATTCGTTTTTGTTTAAACTAATGAGTTAAATTCATTAGTGAGTGTATTTTTAAAAAATGTAGTCTTTTATGTAATAAAGGACACAAAAAAGAATATAAACATTTCGAATATTTTGGGAAAAATATGGTAAAGTATAAACGTCATCTCATCCGTAACTTATCAAATATACAGATTTATACATATAGTGATATTATAAGTGGAATAGAAACTCATCAACCGTCACTTCAAATTTCTGGACGTTATCAACTCCAGTGTCACCTTTTCATTGTCAGTAGATATGTGGCATTCATAACGCTATTACATTCATAATGTCAAGTATTTCAAAATATGAACTAATTGATGACGGGTTGTAGCACCGATGGCAGTACATTTACACAACTAATGATGAAAAAAAGAAACGAGTATTCTAAATTCTCGTATTCATTATCACCAAACGTCTTCAATGTTCTATGTTCTGATTCCTAAGAATTCAGTAGAATACTACTGGTTCCTTTGATTATATCTCCCAAACTCACATTAATCTAACAGTTAGACACTCCGAACTATCTAAAAACAGAGACGAATAGAGAGAGAGAGTAGATTTCATGTAAAGCAGACATGAACATGATATTTGAGCAGAAAACCAAGTTCATTGAAAGTTTATATTCTGAATAGAATTGATGGTTCAGTGAACCAGTTAGAACTGCCTTTTACTTATGAATCTACATACTCAAAATTGTTGCTTTGTTTACTGCACAATGGAAACGTCAGTAGGAGTAATCAATCAAATGTATATATTTTCTCCTAAAGTATGAAGATTACACGTTCATACATTCGAAGTGTTATCAAACAATGATTCAAATATGGTGGTTGTTTGGATCTTCCATTAATGTTTAGGACTGCAGTTGATCGTTCTGTTTGTGATATGTGAACGTGTGAGGATTGTCTGGACATTGCTAGTAGGCTACAAGCATTTTAAGCAGAGATGGATGATGGCTATCGGTGGAATCCAGAGCGCACATTTCTTCCCCTTTAGGGTGCATCAGACAGATATACCTGCATCTTGGATTTCCTAATACAAAGAGACGCTCATCCTGGATTCCACCACCAGCTATAATCCATATTTGTTTTTAAAATATCATCAGACAATTTTCGAAGTTGGTGTCAACACTATTATTGTAATATTACACATTTTTTTATCTTATTGTCACATAGTTAACCAATTTATCGTATCATAGTAGTTGGGCACCAAGTTATTGTAAAACATGAAAGTGGATAATGTCATTTTTTAGAATTTCAGCGATTGAACCTTAACTATGTCCAACGTTTCGTACAGCAGTGTGGTTCAAGTTTCTCCAAGGAATTTTATTTTAGATAGCATTAAAAATCTATTTAGAAAATTAATAGAGAAATATTGTATTTGTGTTTCGATTTGATTAGCATCCAGATCTCAAATGGTCATTTCAAAAAACTAAAACATATGAACAATACAACTGTTTCAGTGTCAACGTAAATTTATTCATCTGAATTAAGATCATTTAAATACATATGGAACATAAACATTTGTCGCTTAAGTACAATTAACTCAGAACTAAAACGCCCAAGAATACTGATATATTATTAGAAGGATCTGATTCATCCTCTTGCTAGAATTGGGGGCTGAATTTTGACCAATCGTGGTTAGGATATATGTTTCCAGTCACAGGTTATCTAGAACAGACGGATTATCAATAAGAATGGTATCCAGGATGGATGTTTCGTTTTATTTGGGACTTGTTATCTAGATATGCCTTCGTCCAAATGTAATATTCATATCAAGACTATAACTCATTGCCCTACATTTAAAACTTTCAACACGTTATCAACTGAGTTATTGGATCCAGATAACCACTAACTTGTTCGGTATGTGCAATGTTTATATCACTAGTATTAGGGAAATGAATCACACCTTTGTCAACAAGGTCTGATTAAAACTCAGTCCAGTAAGAAAGTATTGTCGTTATACTTGTGCTGTTTTGGCAAGAAACGGAAAATCTATAAGTGAATGAAACAAAACGAATTTTCATAAATGATCGTGCTGTCGTTACGACATAGCTCTGGACATCAGAGCACAATATATTATGTACAGAAGATCGTATGTAAGTAGAGAAAGACTTCTGATAATGATCTTTAAATCAGGAAGATTACAAAACTGTTATCAATTAATCCACCCCCCTGAAATTTGTAATGAAATTAATTAAACACATTAATTTAATATATTTGAAACTGATGATGACAAATCTTTACGAAATAATCATAATATAGATAATGTTAAGTTAAATAAGTCAATTATCATTATTTCAGTTTATTTAAATATAAATTATTTCTTATTAGTTGTAGAATGGCACTGCAAACCGAATTCTACAAAGTACTAAATTATTATTAGTATGAGGTTGTGGAAATTATTACGTTTTTGATTGAGATCATGAACCGATTGATGTTAGACCACTATTACAAACATGGAAGCACTGGACGGTCGTTTCATTCTATTGTGAGAATCCTCAGAAATGAGCATCCATGATTCTGCTCGTAGGATTAAAACTCAGGGTCTTCGGTTTCGCGCGCAAACGCTCGACCTATCAGACCACTGAGCCAGCATCCAATGGTGTTAATGTCTAACCTCAACCAATCCACGAAATTGAGTGACCACCTTCCATTGTACTGAGGTAGATACCTGTCTCTACCAGACACAAATTAGCTCTACTGGTCGCGGCTTTTCACTAGAACTCCAAAAATTTCTTCACGAAACTAGTCAGTGGTCTA